AAGTCGGTATTAAAATGAACCATTCCTCGCACCGTGTCGATTTACGTCGTAAAAGCTTCGAAACTAACCGAAACTATATCAATATTCAGCTACTTCAGAATTCCAAATAAAATGGGAAAAAACTCCACCATTTTTGCAGAATTGGACGAGACTAACTAAATATAAAATCTAATCATTAAGTATTGTTAATATATATTTTTCAATATCAAGAAAAGAAAGTATTGAAAATAAAAAGCAAAAAGTTTACTTTACAACTTTACTTCAAAATTTGTTTCCCCCGTACTTCAGCACAGTTGTATATAATTTTTGGGTTCATTTTAAAAATAAAACTCTATATGAACGTATGTCCTAAACGTCTTAACAGGGTGGTAAAATTTTAAAAAATAAAATATATACCATGTAATACCATTTTTGGATATTTTAACGAAATTTATTATGCAAGTACTATGTATCAAAAGGCATTATTTCGAGAAACGCAAATTTTAAAAAATAAACATGTCGCGGGCGTACGGAATATCACCTGTTTATTTTGACCACTGATTTCCATTAAAATCAAAATTATTCTTACAATCTCCAATCATTTGCAAAGAAATTGAATTTCTTGATTTTTTTCAATCCTGCATGATTATCGTTATTATTTATTACTTAAGTAATTGTCTATCTGTTTTATTTAAATACTTCAAAAAAATCGAAGTACGAATACGAAGTACGTAAACTTCAATAAATAAAATAAATTGAAATAAGAATCGTTTCATATTTATCTTGTTATGTTATTGCATTACAAAAAATTTTTTCTGAAAGACACTAGAAAAGCTAGATATTTTGTTTTAGATAGATATTTTATTACAACAAAAAGTTCTCGATTTAACCGGTGCAGTGACGACCTAATTAACCAAAATAAAAGCGCGCCACTGCTTTCCTTGAAAAAACACATTTGTATTCATTTAGGAGCAGAGTTCATCTCTTATTTTTTTCTTTAGTCTGACGTACGGTCTTTACTCAAAAATAAAAACTAATTTCTCTGCATGCTGTAATATTAACGATATTGTTATAACCGTACATCAAGACATGTGAAATTCCGCACGCAGGTTTACCAAAAGGCAATATGAAGGACAACCGTTTCTGATTTGCTTTGTGAAATGTAATTATTCATCGTTCCACATTCGAACGCATCGCTAAAGATGCGACATTTTGGCCGAGCACTTTAATCCGGTGTCACATGACCCCGACCCAAACGACCGATACCCTCGGATGGGCGGTTCCACGGTACTAAATTATCTCTGGTCTGACGTCGCCCGGCGCCAGTGTCCATGTGTCAAACTAGACAAGTTTGACGCCTTCGAAGATTTTCAGCTATTTTATCGACGACAGATTGACTGATGGTCCGCACAAATGAGGAACGCGTGAGAATCGGGACCTCGTTGGGTGCCTAACGAGCGGTCATGCGCGCATGTGCGCGACCGATATCAATTTAGACTCGACTTTTCTTTAGCGTTACCGAATTCGATTTGCGTCTTTGTTTGACCCTTCAACACATCCATTTTTCTTGCTTTACTTCGTGTACTTCCATTGTTTTCACTTCTTCATGTGCCTTGACACTTTCAAAAAATCGATGAAACTGATTCTTTTCGAAAGTATACGCGCTCCTCACTCAACTCGAGATCTCGGTAACGGTAAGTCCTAGAGGCCCCCGTTGGTACAGAACGAAACAGCGTCGAAAACATTTTTTTTTTGTGTATAAACATTTTTTTTTGTGTATCCGTTCTCCGTTCTATGTTCCTGGACTTTTTCGACAATAACTTCCGGGCGGTTTGAATTAGACGATTCAAATTTTGCTCCTTTTTAACAGACTACGGAATACACAAGATATCTAAAAATGGTCACGATGAAACCTCGGCGGCCATCTTTTTCCTCGATTTTCGACAGTTTTTTGAACATCGCTATGAAACATAAGTGTCCGAAATTTGAATATATCGAATTGCTATTTTGCATACGTATAGAGCTTACCTGCCTAACGAAACCTATTGAAATTGGGGAGGGGGGGAGTATTTAAAAAAAAATAAAAATCGGGTTTGTAGGGGTCCAAGAAAAAAATCATTTCTCGAAAATGGTTCACACTATAGAAAAAATTCTTGAACCAAAAGACGCAGAAGATTTTGATCCATAAAGTCTTATTCTTAATAATTTTTGAAAAATGTACAGGGTGAACCGAAAATAAAACCAATAACCCAAAATAAAAGAGACTGTGATTAAGATGTCAGTTTCCTTTAAATGACAATAAAGACTGCATAAACAGCTAAAACTTTGGTATTTAAGATTTTCAACAGGGTATTGAAGGTATAAAGTGCTATATTGAAAAATTAACAGGTGTCTTATATTTGCAGCTATCGACTTCAGATTTGTAGAAGTCCACACCCGTTTTCCAACTGTTGAAACAACTTAAATCTTGTAAAGCATTTTTTTTTTAATTTTGAATTTTTTTATTTTTGGATATTTTGGCTTTCAGAAAAAAAAATTCCAATCCGATCGGCAAAATTTGTGATCCAGGAAATGCGGGAGATTGTCGATTGCATACACGGCTTTTCAATTATAGACAGAAATCTAAAAGAAACTGAAAATTGTTCTTTTCGAAATTGAACTATAAGCCGTAAATCAAAATTCGTAAAAAATATGGCTAACCGGTTCAAACAGTGCTATAGACCGTATCAAGGGCTACAATTTCTGTATTTACAGTTTTCGTATATCACATACGCTGTTCGAGATTTTAAAAAGATTCAAATGAAAATCACTATTTCTCGCCCTCAATCTAGACGTGATGACGTCAATTACAATTACGACGTATTGTCAGAAAATAAGACTTTTCTCGAAAACCATTGGAACAATTCATATACCAGGAAACATGGGAGGTCCAGGGCTATAACCTCCATTTCTGACATTTTTTGGATTATATACAGGGTGTAAAAAAATGTGAAAGATCCTAATCATACAGGATGGCCGAGATATTTGAAAAAACATCATTTTAAATCACAATAAACAATACATATTTTAATATTTAGCAAAGTTTGAAGTAACTTTGAAATTCGACGGGATGTGAAAGGCACTTTATACAGGGTGCATGCACAATAAAATCACATCGATTTTGCGAAAGTTCCATAGTGGTCCGCTGGAGCACGATAGAAAAACAATGCATCCCTCTTGGACGAAAAACCCCCAAGCGACTTTTTTAAAATACGAAACAGCTGCGCGCTTCACGCTTCAAACTTGACCCGCCCAGCAACAATTTTTCGACAGCAATCTTGTTCATTACGAACGTTAGCTATCAACACAACAATTCTAACTAACTAACACTTTTACAGAATTGAACATTGTTAAATGCAGTTTACTTAGTTTGTTTATGTTGGCACCGTTGTAAATATTGTATTTAACTGTATTTAGTCTTCGACGGAAGAGCTTTGGATCTCTATCGTCAAGTTGTCATCAATCAAGAGATTAAAGTTATATAAACTAACCAAAACAACTGGCATAAGTTGTAGAACCGCGAATGTCCTCTTCTTCATTTTACTAGTCTGCTGTCTATCTTTCCCTGTACTATTAGTTGCAACAAATGGAATTTGTCATGTCTCATTAGGTGGCTGCGGTATTCAATTTTCCTTTGCTTTTAGTTGAAATATAAGTATGAGCACAAGTGTTGAATTGAATTGAATTGTCTTGCATTTTTAATTCATTTGAATCGTTTGCAGAAGACCTAATTTTTCGCTTAGTACTGTACGAATTTCAAAGCTCTCACTGCACGAACTATCAATTTTAACCTACGCTGACTAATTTCAGAAAATGTTTGCTGCAATTCTGATGTCTCTATAGTCTAATTTTTTTCGCTAAATAAAAACTACTATTCAGTGGAAGAAATTTTAAAAAATGAAAATAAATTAATTTTTGATTGGGCTTGATCTTCAATATATACATTTTTTAATTTGTTTTTTAATTATTTTGTTATTATTTCATGTTTGTCCCTGTGCAAAATTAGTGTGCCGATTGTGTTTCGAAATCCGAACTGTGAGCTACATAACTCCACTTCACAATGTGAATTCTCTTATAAATAATTTCTGGCCAAACTCTAGTAATAGCGTTTGGCTTTTTGGATATGGGTATGAACTTTGATTGTCATATACGTTACTCGGGTGTCCGTTTAACATAAAATATTTAATATTTCACAATGGATTTTATCGGGGCTTAAGGCTTTGTTATTTTTATTGTTATTTTACAGCTTTTTCTACTTCTGACAGAAGGATGGAGGGCTAGAATCGTTGGTCTCAGTTGAACTAGGTGTTTATAAGATCGGCATCAGGCAAAAAACACTGATTTCATACATTTATCTTTGCATATTTCGAAATAAAATTTTCGCTGACGTCGTATATTCCCGTTATTAACTAATTATATTTTCTATTCTTTATCTCTTCTTTTATTGGGATGTGCATATTTTTCATATTTCGATTTATTCTTCAAAATCATATACCAAGAAATGTAAAAAAATTATAATATATAATTTTTGTGCCACACTATTAATTACTGATGTTCTCAATGCCGAAATATTTGCGACAAATCGATTTTTATATTACAATGTCAAAGTATATGGCATCAGTCGGCGACAAATATAGTCATAACAATTATATAGTTGTTCTTTTAAATTCGTTAATTGTGAAAAATGTGTTTTTTTATTAAAACAACAATTAAATAGTTAATTGCGTTATTTCATAGAATCGGAGTACATTTTTTTCTTGTCTAGGTTAAACGCGATTGCAAGAAATAATTTCATTTGCTACCGTAAATGCAAATGTTGAGAAGTTGTTAACAAAACGACAGCAACCAGTATATAACAACAGTTTTACAATTTACAACATTATTTATTATTAAGCGAATTTAACACCAGTAATTTAAATTTAAAAAACTAAACTGACTCTTTTGTTTCACGAAAGGAGGACGAGATCAAAGAACAGACTCACCTTTTTATGCACCAATCTGGGCTCTGATCTTGCCAGCTTCATCAGCTCCTGGCAGTCGCCACGGCTAGCAGTGACGTACCACTCCTGACACTTTTTCGGTTCCAGCTGTAACAGATTCAACGGCACCCGATTTACATTGGTTTTCACTTTTTTGGTGTTTTATTTTCATATATCGTTATATATATATATATATATATATATATATATATATATATATATATATATATATATATATATATATACAAATATAAAAATAGCTTTCAGAACTAACAACGCAATAGGAAAATATCTAAAAAACAATAAAACGAAATGTCCAAAATCCCAAAAATCAGGTGTCTACAGATTGAAATGTGGATCTTGTCCTAAAATTTATATTGGACAAACAGGTAGATCCTTCAAGAAACGCATTAATGATCTAGATTCTAATTATGCTACCCACTTAAACACAGAAAAACACATTTTTCACGAAAATGTTGATATATTACATACAGCCACAAAAAGTAGAAAATTAAATTTATTGAAAGCAATGGAGATTGACAAAATGAGACATTCAAATGTATTGCTTAACGATCAATTAGATTTAAATACCTCTCCTTTATTGAACTTAAATTCTCACAACAACATTAATTAAGGTTTTATTAATTAATTAATTAAAGAGACGGTGTTATAGAAACAATTGTCATGTCGAAATATATCAATACGTGAAAATCTGAACTTTTAGTTCTTATTTATTTTCATCAAGTAAAAGCCACATCAGTTTAATATAACAACCGCAAAAATCAGTAAAGTTAATGCGAACGGTATGTGAAATTTCTGTGGGAAACTTAAATTATACATATCACTTTACTTCCTGAATAGTCCACTAGATTTAAATTGTAGGTTACAAAGCGTAGTATTTAAATTGTCTGATATATTGCATAACATTTTTCTGTGAATTATTTTTTGGGTACATTTTTGCAAAACAACAAGAATACATTCACTGACATGGCCGTCAGAACTAACAAACGTCAAAATTAAAACCGCGCGTTAAATCCCGGAAATGTTTGAAGTGGCTCGGATCCGGAACTGACGTGGTAAAGTGACGCTTTCCGTACGGTAGATCGGTTTGTAATTATATATTTTACAGACGAGAGTAGACAAAAATACCTAATTATACATCGATCTAGCGTGTGAGAAGCGTCGCTTTAGTACGTGAGTTTCTTGTCCCATGGATCCGAGTCACTTCGGATGTTTTAGTATATTTTAAGCACGGCTTGAATTTTGACGTTTGTCACTTCTGACGGTCATGTCAGTGAATGAATTCGTGTTGTTTAGCAAAAATCTATCCAAAAACCAATGATCGAAGAAAAAGTATAGTATGCAACAGGTTTGGCAAACTTTTTAAATCACTCGTTTATTAAGTACTCGCTCTGTTCGTGCCAAATAAACTCGTGACTACGTTTAATATAAGACTTTAGTCACTTTTCATTGTTACTTTGGACGTATCATTTATTGTTGTGTAAGGTTCACCTTTATTCTATAATTCGAGCATGAGTGTTACCCGTTGGAGCAAGGCAGACGCTAGAATCTTTTATCCATCCGTCGTGCTACAGAAAAGCTGAATTGGTGAACCGAGAATGCCGCCACAGGCGAAAACGGATACGCTACCGTACATGTTAATTAGAAATTTAATTATTATACCACTTATTATAATGCCAATATTACAGATTGTCGGATAGCTATCTCCAGGCCGTGTATGTAATTTAAAACCGTTGCTAGATCCGAACTCAAAGCGTAAAACAGGCGAGAAACGTTATATATACTTTTTTTCCGATGAGTTCAATGTGACGTCATCGATGCTCCGAAGAAGGGTAAAATATACCAAATCACCGGTTTTGAGAGACGCAAAACGCATTAATTACAATTAAACTACTTAAATAACACTGTAGGTTAACGTGTGTTGACGTCAGAGGCATGACAATTTGAAAAAAATTTCTCTCCTTTTATTTTAGATTTGTATGACAATATAAAAAACGCTTTTATGTCAACTCCAGAAAATCAATAATAATAATAATAATAATAATAATAATAATAATAATAATAAATAATAATAATATAAAATAATTATACTTCGACCTAACTATATTTTTAAAGACGAGGATTTTGCAGCTAGTATAGAAACTCAAAGTTAAGAAAATAAAAATTTGTTTTCACTTACTGCACGCAATTCAAGTTAAACTAGATTAGTCTCTTTGTCTAACCTCTCGACATCTCTATATTTCCTTCCATTGTGTATTTTTGCGACTTTAAAATATCCTGCGACACTTTTTTGATCTGGTTGTAATAAAATTCAAAAAGAAGACCATCTCTCAAAGCGGAGTAGTAAACTCAAGAGAAAAGAAACAACCTTGTCCTCCTCCACATTGGCGTGTAGATGGTTGCTTAAGGAGCTGACTCGAAATCTCGAATACCCGAACACCAGCAATAACAAGAAGTTTGTCCTCCTGTGTTTTCAATCTACATATGGCCGATTTAAAAATTAAATCTAGAAGAACAAGGGTTCAAAAGTCTAAGGGCTCTGTTTTCGGCTACGATCTCATTTATGTATCACCAAAAAGCAACTCCACGTAAAAATGCTCTTACAAGCTTACAAGTAAGAATGGGGGATGATAGTATGAGTCAAGCGTAAGACATCGAAATTACATTTTTCAAAGAAACTTCCACAGGCTACTGTAATACTTTTTACAAAAGTTCTGCATTCCTCCTGCGTCGGTGTTAGCTGAGTCCAACTTGCTGACGTTTCGCCAATCTTGTGGGTTTCTTCAGAGCTTGACTGAAACTGCCTCGCATTTTAATGTGTATCTTATAATTGTTTGAGGGGGGCAGAACTAAATGAGGGGTGGATGGCTGATTCCCATATCGGTGACATGTAGAGACCTGAGTTTTTTCGTTGTTTGTGCGGTTTCGTGGTTGTGTTCGGCAACTGCTGATGAGTTTGTATTAGTCTTAAGGCTCTTTCTTTTGAGCCTAGCAAATATTTTTTGTCCGGTCTCTCCAAAGTATTCTTTGCCACCTACACGTGGAATGCTATAAACTCCTGGCATCTCAAATTGAATTTCGTCTTTGACGGACCGCAGATGTTGAGAGATTTTTGGACAAGTGGTAAATCTGGTTTTGAAGTTATATTTCTTTAGAAACTTTTGAAATGCGGTCAGCGATGTTTTGAATATAAGGAAGGACAACTGTGGCAAGTGTGGGTTTGCTTTCGGTTTTATTGCTAACCGAAGGTTGGTGAAGGGTATTTTGTGATGGAACGCTTAATATCGTTAATGTGGAAATTATTAGAGAGGAGAGCAGAGGTAATGTGTTCTAATTCTGGGTTCAATGATTTGGGCTGAGATAGTTTTATGGCTTTGCAAACAAGAGAATTGATAACCGATGATTTTTGTGCCGGATAGTGATGTGACAATACATTAAGGTATCGATCTGTGTGCGTAGGTTTTCTATAAACGCAATGACACAATGTTAGGTCTAATTTTCTATTGATAAGAATATCTAAGAATGGGAGGTTGTTGTTAGTTTCTATTTCAATGGTAAAACGTATGTTAGGGTGTATAGAGTTTAAATGTCTCAGAAAATCTATCACGGATACGAGGAGGTACCCAAAAAAAAACCGGAATCATTTTGTACAAACTACATATTGTTTTGAAAATCACAGAACGACCTTATCCCCTTCAAAATACTCTCCATTACAACTAATACATTTGTCCCAGCGGTGCTTCCACTGTACGAAACATTTTTTATATTCATCTTTTTTTTCTTGACCTCTTCAATGTTGTCAAATCGCTGTCCTTTCATGTTCCTTTTCATACGTGGAAATAAGAAGAAGTCACACGGAGCGAGATCAGGCGAGTAAGGTGCATGGGGCAGAGGAACCATGCCATTTTTAGCCAAAAACTGCTTAACAGAAATGGCTGTGTGTGCAGGTGCGTTATCGTGGTGAAAGAACCAGTCCCCTGTCCGCCACAAATCGAGTCTTTTTTGTCGGATACTGTTGCGCAATCTTCTTAAAACTTCCAGATAAAAAGCTTGATTAACGGTCTCACCTGGTGGAACGAACTATACATGAACTACGCTGTTGATGTCGAAAAAGCAAATCAGCATCGTTTTGATGTTTGATTTGATCTGACGACATTTTTTTGGACGGGGAGACAGTGACGCCTTCCATTGGCTGGACTGTTGCTTCGTTTCTGGATCGTAACCATAGCACCATGACTCGTCACCAGTAATGATCTTTGAAAAAAAATCTGGATCCGTTTCAAGCTGTTGATTCAAAGCACGACATGTTTCAACTCGATGTTCTTTTTGCATGTCAGTCAGAACACGAGGAACAAACTTGGCAGCAACTCTTTTCATTCCAAAATCTTCGGTTAAAATTCGCTGAACCGTGCTGCAAGACAACCCACTAATCTTTGATAATTGTTCAATTGTCTGTCGACGGTCTGTGAGTACAAACCCTCGAATCTTGATCAGTTGACGGACGTCCAGAACGAGGTCGGTCATCAATTGACTCGTCGCCATTTTTGAAGCGAACAAATCACTGGTACACTTGTGTTTTTCCCATCGCATCGTCTTTATAAGCTGTTTTTAACATTGAAACAGTTTCAGCAGCACTTTTACCGAGCAGAAAACTTCTTCTTTTAAACTTGCCATCGAAAAAAACGAAATAACAAAAAAACAGCTTTAACAAAAATGGTACTGCAAGTGAACAAAACAAGTTAAATTTAAAACGAAGGTGGCGTTGAATTCGCAATAAGTTGTACTATCTACAACCTAGCGGCAGAAAGGTGTACTATACAAGCTCTGCGCGCGGCAATCCAATTTCGGTTTTTCATGGGTACCCACTCGTATATATAACAGAAGTATCATCAATGTAGCGGTCCCATAATTTTGGTTTTAGATGGAAGGTATCGAGAGCTTTCTTGTCAAAGGCTTCCTTCCATAAATATATTCGCGATGACTGGTGATAGTAGCGAACCCATAGCTGTTATAAGAAAAACATGTTCAGGGCAAGCATTTTTCAATTAAGGTGAGAAGGTTTGGTTCCAGATGCTCGGATTTTAATA